CCCCAGAAGTCAGTCAGGGGCCCGAGGACCTGAGTGAGAAAGGACTCACCCTGTGGATGACGCCGGCGGAGTGGATGTACTGGGGGGGAAGAAGAGGGGTGAGTGCAGCACCCCGGAACCCCGGGTGAAGCCCTGCCGGCTCCCCCAGATCTCCGGGGCCCCCTCCAAGCCCCCGTGCACCTTGAGACCCTTGAACATCTGGTACACCAGGTACTGGATCTTGTCCTCGGTGAACTCCATACCCATGATCTTCTGCAGGTCCGTCTGCATGAAGGGCATCACCAGGTAGCTGGAAGGCACAGGGGCTTCTAGGTGCCAGCCCCAGCCTCACCTAGGCCAGGTCTGAGCCCGGTGGCATAGAGCTGGGGCCTTGGAAATGACTCAGACAAGGCGTAGGAGGGCTGGGGATGTAGCTCAGTGGTTCCATTGTCTGCCTGGCAAGCGCAAGGTTCCGAGTTGGATCCCCGGTACCAAAAAAAAAAAAAAAAAAAAAAAAAAAAAAAAAGAAAAAAAGCTGGTCGCGATGGCGCACGCCTATAATCCCAGCACTTGGGAGGCTGAGGCAGGAGGATCGCTGTGAGTTGGAGACCAGCCTGGGCTACATAGTGAGTTCCAGGTCAGTCTCAACTACATAGTGAGACCCTGTCTCAAAAAACAAACAAACAAAAAAAAAGGAGTAGGAAAAACCAGCCCCTCATGGACCACAGGACTCTGGGCTTCCCGTGCGCCAGGCTGCACAGCTGGCAGAGGACAGGACAAGCACCGGCACTGAAGCAAATGTGCTCAGGAAACAGAATGGGACCCCTGCTCTTCAGAGATGCCTGCCCTTGCCGCCCTGACTCCCCACAGCCACCCAGCTGGGAGCCCAGCACCTGCCCACACTTCCTTCCCCGCTGCCTGCGCTGTCCCTGAGGGCCGTGCTCTAACAAGCTGAACGTCTGCCCTTCTGAGAATAAAGCCGCTCTCAGGGAAGAGGCTGGTGGCTAGCGGTCGCATCTCCTTATGGGCTTGCAAAACAGGTCAAGGGCAGCAGAATGGAATTGTTACTCAAGGTGAGAGCTGCAAAGTCCCAAAGCAAAAAGTAACAGATTGTAGAAGGAGTATTTTTGAGAAAAGGATACACGGAGGGCGGCTGCCGAGCCTTTCCCTCCTCCCCAGGACCTCCCCAGTGCCTTCCACCTCTGTGAGGACCCTCTCACCCCCACTCCCTGCCCTGTGCTGAGGCCGCGTGACTCTGCCAGGGCATCCGAGCTTCGGAGGCCTGCTTTGTGCAGAAAGAGCCACGCCTGGGGCAACCCCTGAGAACGGGCAGGTGCCCAACTTGGCCGTGCTGAAGCTGGTCAAGGTCCCTGCCACCTCTTCCGGCCTGCCCCTCTCTCCAGAACCTCCACAGCCCTAGGCGCAGGGGCTGCAAGTGAGGATGGGATCCTCTGTGTCCCTCCCGAGCGGCAAGTCAGAGCCACAAACACGCAGCAGCCAGGCGGCTGACTCACAAGTCCTGGAAGTGGCGCAGGGAGGAGGCTGGGGTGAAGACGTCCAGGAGCCCGATGACCTGTGGACGAAGCCGGTGAGGGCTGGTCAGCCACTGCCTCTCCTCCCCGCAGGCTCCAGCCACCCTCTCCCAGTCCACCACGTCCAGCAGGAAGCAGCCCGTGCTGCTCGGGGTACTGAAGGGGGCAAAACAGAGGCGGAAGGGAGCAGAAGCCCCTTCCGAGAGGGGTGACTTGTTAGAGCCCGGCTGCGGGAGCTGTAAAGTCCAGTGCCCAAGGCTGGCGTCCAGGTAAGCGGCACAAACCCATGTCTCAACTCGTAAGCCACAGGGAGAAAGGGAATTGGGTGCAGTGGAGCACACCGGTAACCCCAGCTACTTGGGAGGCCGAGACAGGAGGAGCTCAAGGGCAAGGCCAGCCCAGGGCAAGTTAGAGAGATTGTGTCTTAGAGTAAAACACAATAAACTAGGAGTGTAGCTCAACGGTAGAGCTCTTGCCTAACGTGTGAGGCCCTGGGTTTAACTCCCAGTACCACAGAAAGGGAGCAGAGGGTGAAGAGCGGTGAAGGGCCCTCTCCGCTGGCCTCATCTGTGCCGCCGGACACACGACTGGCTCAGAGCCAGGCCAAAGTCACCCCTGGTTGGAGTCACGGGGAGGGGTTTGCTGAAAAGGGACGGGGCTCAAAATACACCCAGCGCTTTGAAGTCACTCGCGGAAATGTTCGCGCTCCAACCCTGGTCCTGGGATCTGGTCGCCAGGCCCGAGCCGGGTCCCTGGATTGTCCAGCCTGTCCCACCAGGCAGGAGTCTCAGGGTCGTGAGCTCAGGCCTGGATTCAAACCTCAGCCCTGCCGACCCACTGACTGACTGACTACATAAACCTAAAAGCCATTCTGTGCCGGGTTTCTCCGGCCGTTATGGGGGCGCTGGTATTTATCTAGGCAGCGCTGAGAGGACCCCACAAGCTGGCTGGCGCGGAGCTCTTACGCCTGGCTCATAGTGAATGTCCAGTGGACACGAGGCCACTCGCATGCGGAGAGGGCACCGGCCCCCAGGAGCTCTGACACGCAGAACAAATCCCAACTCCACCAGCCAGGCAGCTGGACGTCCCTAAGGCCCTCTGTACCCTCCCAGGAAGTGCCGGGGCAGGGCAGGTCCCGCAACCCTCATTTTACCCGAGAAAGAAGAAGCCGGGACTGGGGAGCAGGAAGTTCTCCCTTTTCCGGGCCCTGCCGAGAGCTCCCGGCACCGGCCCTCGGCCGGAGGGCGCAG